TCGTCGCCGCGCATCGATCCCCCATGCCTCCTTCTGATCTTACCCCATCTATCCCTCCTTGCCTCCCCTCCTTTTTCCCGCTTTCCTCCCCCGTGCCCCTTCTCCTTCTATGCCGCTCTATCCATCCTTGCCGCCTCGCTTCCGCCTCCATCTCGCATCCACGTCACTTCTAATCTCCCCTCTATCGCCCCTTTCCTCCCCCTTTTCCCCTAGCCCCTCCCACCTTCCTCCTCTTTCCTGCTCACTACTCCCTATAGATCCCTCCTTTCCTTCGCGTTCCTATTGTTTCCGCCTCACCATCCTCTCTTTCTCCCTCTCTTCCCTCCTTCCTCTCCCCGTCCCTCTCTTCTTTCTTTCGTAAGCTCTAGTGCGACTACCTTCCTCCCCCTCATTTTACATTACCGACCCTCCACCCCTTCGCGTTCCTCCTTCACTTTCTCACACTAATCCCTCTTCTCCTCCCTCCTCCCCCCTCTCCCTCTGTCCCCTCGCTTCTTCTCCCTTACTCATCCATCACCTTCCTCCCTCCTCCCCTTCCTCTCCTTTCTCACTCTATCACCTCCTTCCTCCCTTTTCCGCTTCCCCCCTCGCCGTCCCTGTCACTGACCGTTCTTTCTCAACTACTATCCCCTCTTTTCCTCTTTCCTCCCTTCCTGCCCCCCTCCCCCTTCCTCCTCATTCTCTCTCACTCCATCCATCCTTCCTCCTCCCTCATCCCTTTCCTTCTTTCTTCAGCTCTATCCCTCCTTCGCTCCCCCTTTTCTTCCTCCCCGCCTCCTCCCCTTCCTCGCTCCTTCTTTCTCACTCTATCCCTCCTTGCTACCCCCTGTTTCCCTTCCTCCCCTGCCGCCATCTTCGCTCTTCACTCCTTCTGTTCTGCCTGCAGGAGCTCTATCCCTCCTTCCTCATTCTCCCCCCTTTCCCGTCTCCTCCAGAAGATTCCTAAAGCAGCAAGGTGATCGCCCAGGGAGAACTTGAGAGCAAGGAACAGCTTACAAATTACTATTCAAGAAATGTACATAAGCGGGGAGAGGGGTAGAAGTACTTGTTCAACCTCTCCCCCCTTCTTGTGTGTGTTTTGTTTGTTTTGTGCGTGCGTGGCGTTTGCTTAACTTCTCCCTTTTATTTTTCAATTTCTTTTGTTTGTGTGCGAGATTTATCGAGTTGTGTTCGCTTGATCTTTTAATTATGCTGTGCTTTTGATCTTGTTTTGTTTGTTTTGTTTTGTTTGTGTGTTTTTAGTTTTGTTTTCTTTTAGTTTTGTTTGTATTCTTAGTTTTGTTTTCGTTTCTTAGGCTCTAATTTCTCTGAGATTATCGGTCTATTTTCACTTTTTCATTTCTATCTGTTTATCCCTGTCATATGTGCATCATTTTTCATTTCATATCTTATGTCCATCTGCGTTTGCGTCAAACGTATGTTTTCTACCTATGGTTTCATTTCTTATATTCATATTTATCATATTTGTTTGTGTCTGTCGGCTTGTGTTCACGTATTTCTTTCACTTTCTTTATTTTCAATTTGTGTCTATCGGCCCTTGTATACGTTTTCTTTTCCATATTTCTATTTTCAATGAGTGTCTATCGGCATATATGCTCTCTCCCTCTCCTCTTCTCCTCCCTCCCTCCTCCCTCTCTCCCCCTCCCTCCCTCTCTCCCCTCCCTACCTCTCTCCTTCCCTCCCTCTCTCCCTCACCCTCTCTCCCTCCCCCCTCTCTCTTTATTTCCTTTCGTTGTTTTACTTCGTGCCTATCGGTTCCCGCGCCCGATATTTCCACCCCGCCCACAGCCAGCAATGAAACACATTCCCCGCTCTAAATGCTCTTAAGCTGAGGATTCCAATAGCGCCGATGCTGATTGCTTTGATCCAGGTATTAAGGGCCGTTCGATTGTTAAGAGTCATGTAAAACCTCATTGGTATTCTGGAGGAAGCGGGCTGACAGACCAGACGATCTTTCAGATAAATACACGAACAGAATCCTTGTGGTTTGGATGTCTGTGTGTCTGTCTCTCAATTTTTTTTTTCTTTCTTCGTTTCTTTTTTTCTTTCTTTCTTTTTTCGTTTTTCTTTTTTCACTCTCTTGTTTTCTGTCTGTCCTCTCTCTCTCTCCCTCTTTTTTCCCCTTTCTCACCCTTTCCATCTCTCTCCTCCCCCTCCCCCTCATTCTCTCTTCCTCATCCCCCCTCTCTCTCTCCTTCCTCCCCTTCATTCTATCTTCCTCCCCTCTCCCCCTCCCACCCCTCCCCCCACCAATGGAAGCCCAGATTTTTCTCTTCCAGTTTCCATTTGTAAGCTACAATAGTTTACAAATGGAATCTGCGATGACTCCATTTTCCAAACACGAAATGAATCCGTTCTTGCACAATGCATGCAACATTCAACGTGCTCCTGGTCATAGGTGGTCCCGTGTTCTCTCTGTTGCAAAGCGAGGAAAGTGCATCTTACTGTCAGAGTGTCTCTTTCGGTGGAGTCTCTGTGACCTGATTGTGATGTGTATCTA